AGGCAGCAGACGGGCAACCAGGCTCCTCCAATGCACAGTGGCAAGATTGGTATCACATTTCATATCACAGTCATTGGGTATAAGAAGAGATGTGTTCATAGCTACCCAGTATCTGAGATTCCTTGGAAGTATTGTGTATTACCCTGTTTACAGTTTCCTTTAGTGTATTCTCCTTCTGTTTAACCTTTTCATTTACGGGTATATACAGTTTTCTAATTCTACATTGCATAATTACTTGTAAAATGATACATATTATAGATACACATATAACAATAATAAATGGATAAAATGAAATATTTACAATTGCTGATCCTACAGATGATTTAGCAAGTGTGTTTGTTCTTTTAATTATGTCATTCCACCAAGAGGAACTAGAAACAATTGACCATTCATGTTCTATCTCCTTTAATTTACCCTGTTCATGTTAAAATTGAATTTCTGTTTCTCTCAACTGTTTTTGTAGTGAATATAATAATATCTTGTCTTTCTTAATCTCATCTGCCCACTTTCTCCATGGAAACTCATTTGTTTGTGAAACATTTAATTGAATAGGCATGATATCTATCTCTTGTATAGGACTCTTCGATATATTAACTTGAGTTCCATGTGTATGTATTATTAGTGGACCCCCACTGATACAAAATAACACTTTCAGTAATGTTTCTGAATGTGTACATTCTGAAAATGTATCTCTTACTAATTCATTATTTGACATAACCTGTACACATACTTTGTCTTTTTCTATGGGAGTTGCAATTTCATGAGGATTTTTAACTGTTTTAATTTTACCGGAACATGAACTTTGGTTATGAAAACATGAATGATAAATGGTTTCAGCTTGGTTATTTAAATATATTATTTTGGATGCAAAATTTAGACAACTAGAAAGAACTACCTGCTCAAGTTCAGTAATGTTATTATAAGATACAAAATCAGGATATTGTAATTTATAAAATAATAATTGTGTGTTACTTATAGGAATTCCTAATACCGACATTGGAAATAGGGTTTTTTCAATACCAGAAATTGGTATTAAAGAAGAACTTATACATATATCATTGTTAAATCCCAATAATTTGTTAACCGATAAATCTGTATGATTTTTAGCGAACGCAAACCCCTTCAGGTAAACTACGTTTGAGTTCTATAGGAGTAACACCACCTTGTAATGCTTGTGCCATCACCTTAAAATCTGTAGAATATTCAACTTGTTTCTCCAAACAAGCTTTGGCTACCTGGGATGAATCTGCATTTCTCATTAATGCCAAAGTAGCTTCCTGTAACAGAGGGTGCAATAACAGGGTGAACAGAGGGTGCAATAACAGAGGCTGTGTTCATAACCATATTTTTCAATATTTGATTTAAAATTCTTTGAATATGCAATTCCCCCTTTTCCCCCTATTAACCCTACAGTTCTCAAATAATTCTTTAATGTTTGAATATCCATACAATTAGTGATACTTCCTATAGTACCAAATCCAGCCATAATTCCTTCTACTATATCTCTTTTTTTTCTGTTTGATACTTTACTTCCTCCAAACCAATGTTCTAAGCCTCGTTCCATATTTAATAAATGTTCCTTACATTGTGGAGAAACATTAAAATGCCAAACTATTGTTGCAAATTTCCCATCTAATAACAAATGCTTTGATTGAAAATGATTCAATTGAAAGGGACTTGATAACTTAAAAATCTTATTTTTGCATTCTAACATTCTGGGAGAGAATACATTTACCTTAACATCACCACGTCTCTCATGATGATTTCTTAACATTATACAACAATGATAGTTTCCACTATCAATGTAGGTAGGATTGTCTAAATAGAAAATAAACATTTCTTCCGACCAATCCACCTTTCCTAGTACACCTCTGTGAATAACCTTTGGCGTTGTATGTGACATACTACCCAAAAACATTCCTTCCGTTTTCCATGTCATTACAGACTCAGGCGGTAAACTTATATGTGTACTACATGTTAATCTAAGTCTTTCCTTTCCTTCCTGGATTTCTACAAGACTATGCTTCATTATAATATTTTGCATAACATAATCAGTTACCAGAAACATTGTGTTAACTCTTACTGTCAACAATTCCCTAGATGCTCGTATTTCCCATATCCAAGGTATACCTGGAGTATTGTTTTTTAAGAGGAATTCTGGCTCTAAATGTATAAGCCAATATTGAATTGTATAAAGTACCTCACCACCTCATCCTCGTGTGGTTCCTGAAGTTTGTGCAACGTTCACATACATGTCACCTGACCAATTTACCATTTCCTCTCCATTAACTACAATCATGATATATGCATTTTGTAATATGTTAAGTTCCCATGATCCCGTTTTTACATTATTTTGTACAAATGAACCTTTTGTCCAACTAAATAAATCATTAGGACCTATTGTAATGTTTCAATTAATAACACTATCTCCTGTGAAATTAATTTACATATTGCATACTTGTAGATAGCCATCTTTTGTCCCGAAACAAACATGACCTTTTAATACTTGTTCATTGTCTCTCTTTTTTCTAATATTTCCCAATAAGTCATTCTTTAACTCATGATTGAAAGTCGTTTTGTTCATCTTAAAAATAACTATTACAAGAACTGTAGTCATCAATGTTAGCAGGATGCTGATGAACAACTTCTTTCTGCTACACGGTTGTTTTCACGAAAACATCGTCTGTCACCGGCCAACTTTTGTCTGTAGGTCTGCTTACAAATTATCTAAAATAAACTAAGAAAAACAAAGCAGTATCAATATATTATCAAATTATGTTGTAGGTTTATGAACTGCATGAACCCAAAAACTATTTTGCCTCTGTTTATTACGTGAACCATCAAGAGGTCTTTGCACTTGTACCATTGTTTGTCCCATTGTATCTGTTAAGTTATAAGGACCTTCTCAGTTTGCCTGCCAAGGTCCAGTTTTCCTAAAAGTTTTTATCATGACCATACCCCCCTTTAAATTGATTGTGGATGATATGGAACATGGAATCTCTGCTCTATGCCTAGAATAGCACACAGTGCTTGCATGATTTTCCCTGTGAAATAGGTACCTCTGTCTGACTCTACCTCTACTTCTAACCATTTAGAGAATACATCCACAACTACTAACGCATATTTTAATCCATTCTTACCTGTTGTTGGTCCAATTAAATCAATTTGTAAAGTAGACCAAGGATCATTTGCAGGCGCTATACGTTAACATGATTGTACTACCTGTTGTACAGTCTTTTCCATGTTATCCCAATAAAACCTATCTCTGAGTAGCTCTAACAGTTTCTGCTGTCCAATATGACCTAAACTTTCATGATTATATTGTGTAAATAACACTTTTAGATGTTCTGACATGATCTGACACAGTTCTCCGTTTTGGTCATGACACAAAACCCTGTTCTCATGAACAAATGGAGGTTTTGGATCAACCTGAGAAGACTCAAGGGAAGAATCCTTTGCCTGTTCTTCTGCAAAAGATGGAGGCTGTGTGTTAGTCTTTCTAGCCACTGCTACTGACATAGTCTCTGTCTGCAATGCATTTTCACCAGTTAAAGCTGCTCTTTTTGCAAATTTATCAGCTATTTAATTTTCTTCACTAAGTAAATCTGTACCTTTTTGGTGGGCAGGAATTTTAACTATAGCATGTAAAAATGGCTCTTGAGACGCAATTCCGAATATGGTCTCTAGTGTCTCTTTGTGTGCTAACACTTTATTTGAGGCATCTACTTTTTTTCCATATAGCTAAATGTTCTGTTAGTGATCTAACCACATATGAACTGTCACTATATATCACTAGGGGACGCCCTTCTTTTTCCTCAAGTGTTAGTACTGTTTTTAATGCTTCTAGTTCTGCTCTCTGTGCTGACAAATGACCTGGCAATTTATGCTCTACTGAATATCCTCGTTTTGGATACCATATAGCATAACCTGTATAGTACTTCCCATCTGAACAGAATCTGGACCCGTCAACAAACAAACATTTTTCTAAAATCTCAATATCCACATGCTCATTTACTGTTGTTAATCTTATTAATTGTGTCAATCTATCTCGCTCATTCCCATGGACTATTTCACCATCTTCGTCATTAGGGGTACTTATGGGTGGAGTCAGTCTACGTGCAATGTATGTTGGCAGCCATATTTTAAACAGTCTGTTCCTTTGTTTATCATTCAAATTATGTTTAGATAAATTAGACTCAAATACGTCTGCATTACCAAAGGCATCCATTGATGGATTATATGGGGGAATATCTTTGGTAACTTTCATCAGCTGCTCTTGAATTTTTAATTTAAGTTTTGCAGCCTTATCTAATAATTTTCTACATTGCAAATCAGACTGGGATGATATTTCTGTGACATCAACGTGCTCTGGTATCAAATGATCACTCCTTGTAATTACACACAGCTGTTTAGCTTCATTTCTGAGCTTACAGATCAATTCAGATTTAAGATCCAGCTGTTTTTCTAAATCACAAATACTTGCCTGTAGTCTATCACAGTTAGTACATTTCATTTCTGTTACACATACAGATTTATCTTTAATGTCTGTCTGTGTACTTTTTAAATCTTGCACCTTTACTTGTGCTGGTACTTGCAATTTTGTTGGAGCCACTCCTGTTCTAAGGATCATTGTGTCAAATGTTTCTACCAATTTTAAAACATTTCTAATTTTCTTTTTTGTTTTATTTAATCATAACAAGTTATTATCAATAGCTGAATTTGCTTGTTTACATTGCTCATACAAACTTGCCCACAATTGACTATCTGTATAGCATCTGTTAAACACAAAATCAAGTTTACTTTTCTCTGCACTATCAGTAACAAAATCCATTATTACTCACCAGACAAGTTGATCTTTAATTCACGACATCGTCTGCCTTTCGTCTGCTTTTTACTCGTACAGCTGCGCAGTTCTGGGCTTGATTCTGGACGCTTGCCAATCTCTGCCACGTGCTTGCTTCTAGACTTCATGTTGTATCTTGTGCTGCTTTCTTTATAACACGTTCTTTTGTCTGTTGTAGAATATAATCTTGGAACAGTCTTTGTGATTTGAAAATCTTTGTCTTCTGATAAACACACACAGCTCTAAACACAGCTTTTAACACGGTTCTTTTTCTCTGTTTTCTGGCTGCTCACACTTCAATTCAATCTGCGTTCACACAAAGAGTAATTCGATCAGTCCTCTCACGTCCTCTGTTCAATTCCCCCTTTAATGGAAGTGTGGAACGCCAGAAAAACAGTCTAGCTGGCTCATCAATGTTATAACTGTCTTTGTGTTTATTTAGTTGAATAAGTCATATATATATATATATATATATATATATTTCTTCTTTGGGTCAGGCTCGCTGCACTAATATATGTCTATATTAATGAAAAGTACTAATACGCAATCTGATGTTCTTTATAAAAAATATGCATTTATTCTACTTCAACAGCAAACAATAATATACTTAACAGATGGTATTTCTTAACGACGTTACAGAGAGTCGTCTTTGTATCAGCAATTCAGGACATCAGAAAGGAGAGCAAAATGGATCGTAGAAGGAAGAGAGCGTGATCAT